TTTTATTTTGTTTTGGGCTTTGTTCCTGTCGCTTACCCTCAAACCTATAAACAGTGTACAGGGTATCATCACAGTATGAAGCAAAAATTGTGGGCACGATTTTGAATGAAGGGCTGCAGGGTGGTGCAGTTGGTAGCACTGTTGCCTCGCAGCAAGAAGGTTGCCGTTTCGCGTCCCGGTGGGGGCACCGGAATCTTTCTGCGTGGAGTTTGCATGTTCTCCCCGTGCAGCGTGGGTTCTCTGCGGGTTCTCCGGCTTCCTCCCACACAGTCCAAAAACATGTTGAGGTTAATTGGTGATGCTAAATTGTCCGTAGGTGTGAATGTGAGTGTGCTTGGTTGTCTGTCTCTAAGTGTGGCCCTGTGATAGACTGGCGACCTGTCCAGGGTGTCCCCTGCCTTCGCCCTAAGTCAGCTGGGATAGGCTCCAGCCCCCCGCGACCCTAATGAGGATTAAGCGGTGTATAGATGATGGATGGATGAATTTTGAATGACTTTTATCTGATTAGGTCGAATGCACATGCAGGCAGTCCTGGCAGGTGTTGGCTCTTAACCAACACCTGCCCAAAATGTTCAAGTTGTCATCGTCACGCCAACATGCAGGTCAAACTGACAGAAAAACTCTTTTTATGGATTATATGGTTACAACTGACCATATAATGATTTACCCCTCAAACATAGCAAGGATATACACCGTTTTTATTGCTGTGGCTGATTGATGTGTAGTTGTTTGAATAGGATACTTTGTGATGATCATGATTACTTTTGCGTTTTGTGAATAACCACAGGAGCTAGCATGAAGCTACGTCAGTGCTTCCAGAAGGCTGATTAAATAAAAGACGGAAAAAGAAGCATGACGCTGGACAACAGGCATCACATTATGGGCTTCAGTAGAAGGCTGTTAGCATCTAAAGCGTTATCAGCCAATCATGTGCCTTCCTCACATGTACCCGGTGAGTCATCTCAAATGTATGCATGTTTCATATGTGGAAACCCTCTTCAGAGCCGCATCTGTGAAGTCGTCTAGTTTTTGCTATCTTTTTGCAGCGCTACACACCTGTGTCACCCTCCTGTTCAAAGCACATTTTAACCATGTATATGTGTGTGTGACGGCAGCTTGTGCATGTGTGTTTGGCTCTGTAGAGACGACGTGGATTGTTTTCTCTCATGTAGCCTGACAGCATTGTGAGCTTCTGTATCTGCAATTTCATTGTTCTTTAAAGATAATCAGCAACATGTGAGAGTAAGCACATGCTGTTATCTTCAATGTCATTAGCTTTTTCTAATATCACAAGCGGAAACAGAGAAACAGAAGCCAATCAAACAAAGACCTTTGTTCTGGTTTTCTTAAATCAAAGCTTCTGCTGTTGCTGTCTGACAGATCCAAAATGTCTGTGCATGATTATCCGGACATATAAACTCCTGACTACTAGACAGCCATGTGGTAATGTTCATCAAACATACTGTAAGTTTTCTAATCAGAGAATGAAAAAGAACTAAAAATGACTTTTCACAATACACATAGTTGTATTGTTGCATCACGTAAAACTACACAACATCGACGCTTTGTTGGGTTACTATGTATATGTCAGGGAATGGTGATTTTTGGCCCCTGTGTTTTTGTTCTCCCCAGCCCGAGTCCGGCTTCCAGAGGGATCCCGCATCCGCCGTCACCGGGCTCCAGTCCGGCCTCCGGAGGGATCCCGGAGCCCGGAGATGAAGGAGGCTGTTTGTTTTCCTCTTTCCTGACCCTCCTCCAGGCCCCTTCCACCCACCCGGCTCGTTTTGGACTTTTTTTTTTTGGATGCTTCGGACTTTGCTTCATCTAGGTCGCCAGGTGGCGGCCGTTGAGGAGGGGGTGATGTCAGGGAATGGTGATTTTTGGCCCCTGTGCTTTTGTTCTCCTCCAGGCGTCCACCAGAGGCCGTCCTGGAGGAACTCTCCATTGACTGATTCCCTGCAGGTGTGTGAGCTACACACCTGCGATTCATTTGGGTCGTCACCACATGTATAAGAGGAGCTTTCACCACTCACTCTTTGCCTGAGTGTTGCCCTACATGGCAACTTCTAGCCACCACCCGAGTGTTCCCTTCGTGTTCCTCCGAGCCTCCCTTCGTACATCCCTTCATGCATCCCTTCGTGCCTTTTTCCGAGTGTCAGCGAGACCGTCTTTCCTTCGTTAAGGATTCTTCCAGTGTTCCCGCTTCCCGTCTGTGTTTCCACCTGCACCAAACCCGAGTCTTCTCCGTGGCTTCCTGGACCACTACTCCCACCGGTAACACCCCCGCCTCGTTTTCTTTCTCATCTTTACTGTATCAATTTCTACAATAAACCTTATTTTTTAATTCCATCTCTCCTGACTGTCATTTCTGCATTTCTGTCAGCCAGCCTAGTTATCCTGTGACAGTATAGGCTTCGAATGTACAATATAAATTATTCTGCGTTGTCTTTTGGGCAAATTTGTACAAACATACTTATTTCTCTGCAGCCCATTAACTTACTGTCATCGTCCAAAACATGCAAATAACAAATAGTTTCCACTGTGTAGCTCAAGGTCTTTATTTGAAGAACGGGGCGGATAACACAACACAATTTGGTTGCTATTTAAAAATAAGTTATTCCAGGGCCAGACCCATATACAATGATGGATACTTTTAATATTAAAAGTAGCTAAAGTAGCTTTATGTACGGGAGAGCAGCATGTTATGAATTATGAGGCCAATGCGTCATTATTAAAAAAACTTGTGAATACTTTTTCACTGCCACTGAGTGATGAAGTGTTTCTCAGCTTTTTTTTTTTTCTTGACTGTTAATTATTCAAACATGGATGCAAAAAGCAATAAAGTTTTTACAAGTAAACAACTGTTTTGTGTGAATAAAACTTACAGTGTGATTGTAATGAGCTTGCACAAAGCAGCAGCAGGGAAGAAAAGTGTCTCAGGAGAGTTTTCAGGTGCCTATGAAGACAAAGAAATAGTTACAAAGGTTTGCTTGTGACTTTTCGCAAAGTTTCTGTAATACACAAATTTTTAAACCAGAACATGTGATCTTAACTGTTTAAAGAAAAGAAAAGTTTAAAGACACCTGTATCTGAGGGTCTTATCACGGATCTGTTGAAGCCACCACAAAGACATTTCATTATTACATTTCATAGTAAAGTTAAATTCATCACTAAGAAACAGAAGGAATATGGCACATGTATAAATCTGCAGCCAGTCCTCAAAAACTGAGTGGTTGTGCAAAATGAGACGAGTAAGAGAGGCCACCAAGAACCTATGACTCCTCTGAAGGAGCTACAAGCTTCAGCAGCAGAGATGGCAAACACTGTGCATACAACAGTTGATGTTCAACTTCTTCACCAGTCAAAGCTTTAAGGGAGAGTGGTCAGAAGAAAACCACTCGACTGGAGTTCTCCAGAAGGCATATGGGACATGTTAAGGTCAAGATTCTTTGGTCTGATGAGACCAAAATTGAGCTTTTTGGCCACCAGATGGTTGGTGGACACCAAACACTGCACATCACCACAAACACACCATCCCAGCTGTTAGGCATGGAGATGGCAGCATCATCATGTAGGGATATTTTTCAGCAGCAGGCCATGAAAGTGACGTGTCAGATTATTACTTTTTGCTTTTTTTTCTGATGAGCTTTGGGCATCAACACACCAAAAAGTTTCAGGTGAAAAAGATGCTGTTCCATCCACATTTATTACACTATCGTAATAAACAAAACATGTACAAGCATGGCTACCTTTCATTTCTTAATAAATACTCTTTTTAGAAAAAGAAATACTTACATTTTAGGTACAAAAAAAGTTTGCACATGACTTTTCCTAAAGTTTCTGCAGTCATTTACATGAGGTTGCTCAACACACATAATTTTACCAGAATATGTGAACGTAAAAGTTTACAATGTTTAGCCCAGAATTATCCTGCAATAACACAAGAGTAATAGTTTCAGTTTGATCCTTAGAGCAGCCAGAGTGTGTGAGCAAAGTCAGAAAGTCAACAATATTGCACTGTACAAACAATAAAACTTGAAGTAACAACTATTCCCCAGAGTGAACCACATAAATGAAACATAGCTGCAAAGGTTTGCAGTTGTAGCACTTAAAATGTCATTACGTTCTCACATTATGAGATTTTTAGTAACACCTGCAAATGGCTGACAAAATACAGCTCGATAATCTAAATGTAAAACCTTCTTTTATGTTGCATAGCAAGGTTGTCGGGTTGTCAAGAGGGAGGTCAAGATACAAGGAGGGCTTGATGCTTGAAGGGTAATTTACTGTTAATATTTACTGTTGATAGTTGTTATAATAACAAGTGTGTTGTTAGAACACTACACATCGCTGGATTTCACGCCTAAGTGACTGGTGCGCTTGTGCACGTTCCGGCCAGTTCCACCCTGTCGGAGCGCTCCGACGGGGTGGAAGTGGCCGGAATGCACATGACAGTTTAGAATAGCACTCACAGTTCTGTTTCCACCATCAGTGGCAGCGGTGGAGGTGGAGGAATGGCAGATATGCTCCATCGTTACCATCCGGTGGAAAGTCACCGGCAGCGAACACATCGTTGTGTCCTCTTCTATGCATGTGAGACACTTTTGGGCCACATGAAGTTCACACAGGAGATCACATACAAGTCGTATTTAATTGGAAATGTGAACGAACTCGCAAAAAATCGGATTTCACAAAAAAATCGGAAATGAGCATGAAGTCCTGCAGTGTGAACGTAGCCAATCTGTCGGATTGTTAAATCAGATAATACGCTGTCCATTTGTGACATAAAATGTCATGTCAGAGTCGGAATCCAAGGCTGTCAGTAGGTTAAAGCTATTTTCTAGGGGTTCCGTTCGTTTTTCCTAAAAATAGCAAGGTTTTCAGATTGTTAGGGGTCGGGTTATCGAGTCACGACTGTATATGATGATAAATTAAACAGATGTTTTTGTAGCAACGTGAAGGCTCCAAGGTTTTCTCAACACACTTCGGGACGGAATAAGTCAGTGTACATAAATCTGTATTACAATGCAAATATAGCAAAAACTCTACAAACAAATGTGTCTTATGATGAGTCTAAACGTTTATATTACAGCACTATAAAAACTCAAAGACGCAAAGCACTTGAATACAATTTCTTCTGGCGTAAGTACTGATACAGTACAGGACAGCCAAAAAACCAACAAAAATAATTTCAAAGTCCTTAAGAGGAAGGAATTTCATCCAACTGAATCATTTTTCAGGGATCCATAAAGCTGCAGGAGTTTCTCCTTTTTTTATATTACATGTGTGTTTATCTGTTAGAACAAATGCAGCGAAAAGTGGAGTGAAATTACAGAATGGCAAGTGTCAAAAATGACCACCAAAAAGTTTTTATAATGTAATTGTGAGTAGAGATGGAGAATTTACATGAAGCTGTGCAGCTCATGTAGTTAACATTCTGAAGACTGAATACCAAACCATTCACACACAAAACATACAAAAAGTAAAGACTTTCACAGTGTACATACTATAAATTAGAATCAAGTCCATTAAAAAAATAAATAAAACAACCCTTGGCTTCCCATAATATATTGAAAATGCCAAATTTTGACATCGTTTTTTGTGTTTTCTTTTAAATTGTGGCAAAGTCAACAGGACATATTAAAGCATTAAAAACTGACGAGTTGTTTATACTTCACACTTCTTCAGAAGAACTTTGGTTATGAATTAAATCATCAAGGATAATATTTAAATCAATAATTTTCTTCCTTAAATCATATCTTCATGAATCAAGCTTATTAACAAGCTTTCACATATTCAATCACAGTTTTAATATGTACCTCACATTTAGGATCACAACTATCTTTCTGCAAGAGAAAGCTGTTCAATATTTGTTTCTTGCAACTGTCTGGAAAGTTATTCCTTCCATTAAGTTAATGCCAGAGGAAGTTTTGTGCGCTGATGTTTTCCATACGTCCCTCAGGGTGATGTAACGTTACTGCACTGCAAGATCAAGGTTGCAGAAAAAAATCCCGATGCAACCTTTAAAATGATCATAATTTGCACACTATCAGCAAATACTTTGATTTGATGAATCATATTTTGGGTTCAAATTCACTTTGCACTTGATTTTTAATTAGCAGCACAAAGTAAATAAAGCAAATTCAAACATTTCATGCGTCTTGTTTTGGAGTTGTTTTCCAAATACCATCATGAAACTTTAAAAATGAGCACTATGCATAGCCCTTTTTCTCTGGAGTGAATCTACATTAGTTCCATAGTTTGCACACTTTATGCATGTAATGCCAGTTTCATTCATGTAGTAACACTTTCATGGCTATATAACCTGTGCAATAACCGCATATGTCTAGTAAACATGGAACTACATACACAGCAGCTGTCAACATTCAACATTAACCACCTCCAATTACACTTTTAACATTATAATCACGTAGCATCTCTGTTACGCCCTACAAACTATTATGTTTCAGGAAATCGTTGTCTTTCACCTTAACTTTGGTTATTGATTACCGATGCCCTTTTCATGTTGTGGTAAAATATTGATTACCTTCACTACAAAAGGCAGCTAAGAAGGTGTTTGCATCCTAATGAGAAAAACGTCAAATAAGGCCGTTGTTAGTTTCTGCGTTTGTACAAAAGAAAAGAAAGGCAAGAAGAGAGAAAGACACCAGCTAAAACCGCAAAAGTCCGCACGTCTCAACAAAATGTTCGCTTAAGAAGCAAGAACAGATATAGGACCTGCCTAATAAGTGCACAGAAATCAATATAGCAGTGTGTAACTAAAACAAACAAAGGTCAAAGTGCTTGAAGACTCGATATAGCAGTGCGTGAGAAGATACAGAGTGCTGTAATGAAATACCTCAGCAATCAATTTATGTCAGTGTGCATGCAGCTCCATGTTGGATATTAGTTTTCAGACTGCTATGGGCTATAGGCAGGAGTCCCAGTGTATGTGTGGGTCATAACTATCCAAGAAGTCTGTGGAAAAGACACTAGGGGGTGTTTGGGGTCCCAGAGGGGCCAGTGTGGGAGTTTCCTCCTCCTTCTGTCCTCCCACGGTAAGATCCAACCAGTCCATGTTGTCCAGCCCCTGCTCCGCCTCCGCCGTCACACTGAACGTATCCATGGGCGACGGCAGATGGTCCAGGATGCTGGATGTGCACAGCATTTGACTGTGGAGGTCATCGATCAAAGTGAGCAGCCCACCAGGCTCCACCCCCAGGAGAGGCTTTCCCGTGGTGCTTTCCAAGAAGTCCTCCAGACGTCCGTCCCTGGCTTGGACGAGACGTTGCTTCTCTGCCGTGGCGTCGGCCGGCAGCTCGGGCAGCGCGGAGGAGGCGGGTTGAGGAGTGTCATAGCTGGGGGGAGACAGCAACAGGTGGAGAGGTGAGGGAGGAGGGGAGAAGTCGAGACTGAGGTGGTCCAGAGAGGGGTCTGGTGCAGGGGTGAAGGTGGAGTGCATGTCTGAAAGCACAAAAAAGATCACTTTAAAAACACACACACACAAAGTAATCCTTGTGATTGAGACTTTGGAAAATCATTAAATTGCTGTTTAACAAGTGTTATCATAGAACAGAAAGTGAATCTCACCTCCTGTCTGCAAAATGATGTCAACGAAATCATCTTCATGCTCTGAATCCTGATGACAGAAAACAACACATCATCTTTCAAAACTGTAGGAGAGTTGATATATTTGCCCCTTGAACTTGTTTTTTTTTTTTTTTTGCTACCGTCACATTTTAACTCAACTTGGCCTCACTCTTCACGGCAATATAAAGTTCTGCAACTCTATGGAAACAGCACAACTACGACTACAAGTACAGAGAATTAAAACATAACTTTTGTACAGAGTTACACTGTTACACACCACTAAAAAACTGAAAAAACAAGTTGAAGTTCTTTATTTATTGTTCAGCATTTGTGACCACAGTACCAGGAAAACACTACCTGCAGTTCAGCCCAGCAGAGCCCAAAGATTCCTGACTTTTTTGCCACTTGTTGATTGCAGCTGAGTCCCTAACAGCTTATCAGTTGTGTGTTTTCTACTGAATCTGATTTGTGCATACATTTATTTTTCTTGGAAATTTTAGGCGAGACAGAATGAAGTGCTTTTAAATAAAACATCACATGTAGCTTATATTTGACCAAACTGTACATCACAAATGATTAGCTCAAGGACTTCAAGAATGCTAAAAAGCCTATTTTTTTTTTTTACAGTTTGCAGCTTTGATGAATGTTGTAAATTTGGTGATTTAAAAAAATCAAATAAAATAGCGTCCCTTTCAAATGAAAAGGGTTAACATAGGCTACTATATTAAAACCTAGGAAACAAACTCTTTTGGCTGTAAAAGAGATTGGATTATGAACATTTCATTTTTCTGCAGCTTCATGAAATAGTACGCAGACACGTGGGGCATCATACTTTATCATCGGGCGACGAGGCTGCCGTGGTAATAGGAGCCGGAGAATGGGGACTAAAAAAGACATCCAGACTTGGGCACACCTCCTGGAATGGGGAATGAATGGAGAAAACAGTTAGAGAGAAAGCTTTCAATCACTTTGCAAAGTCGAGATTACACCTGTTTGAGTACTTACGGTTTGAGAAAAAGGCGACGGGGCGTTTCTCCCCAAGGAAACAGCTTCCTGGTCCTTGAAGAAAGGCTGCAGACTGGGTGGTGCTGACAAACTCTGAGCTGCTCCCTGGTATGCTTTGTCTATTGATACCTTAAGTGCCCCATTCTGCATCTTCAATTCAATTTTTAAAAAAGTGGAAAAATATGGAATAATGTTCATTGCATATTGCACAGTTTGGATTGTAGAGCTCTGCATTGCACATATCTCCTACCAACAACATTCCTAAACTCCAGCCCGGTGTGATCTCTGCATTAAAAATGTCACAGGAGGCATAAAGATACGATATCAGCTCACGGAGCTCCATTAAATCTCGACATTTCGAGACAAGCTTTGCCCCTAAGACCAAACACTCAGACACACCTGCAGAGATTATTGTATATCTCAATTTGCAGAGATGCGATGGACTCTTTGTTCCTCGTTCGTTAGCACAATAAATCATAGTAATGGAGGATGTCGTCGGAGTAATTAGCAAAGCAATAATAATCAGCATCAGGCTAGTGTCAGACACTTATCAAAGGCTGCTGTCATTGTCTCAAACAGCACACATCATTAATTTTCACTGCGATTGGACTCGGCGGAGCAGCTCTCATGCTTCTCTCTTTCTCTTTCTGTGGCATTAACAGATCGTTCTGTTGCTGCACTGGGGACGGCCGCTCTGTGGTTTGCTCGAGAATAAAGCGCATGTCCCGGGTTCATTAAATGTATGAAAGAGATGCTATAAATATTTTAAAAATCGCTCCCCGCCTTGGCTCGACCTTGAATGTTCACTGGCTACATGTGCTTACAGTCTCATTTAGAATTTGTAAAGAGTCACTTCACCCACAGCAAATACGAGAAAAAAACATTAGGATGGGCTTTTTAAAAAAAAATGTATTTAAGAAATCTTGTCCTTGTAATGACAGATAATCCATTTACCTCACAGTTTTCTACCGCTGCACTAAACTACAAAAGAAATACTTTCTAAGCTCAAAATCCCAGTGGCACAACATCGATTTAAATGTTTTCAAGTGTTATCAATGCTGCCCCAACTGCTTTAAAACGGGCTGCAAAATCAGATCAGAAATGGATTCAAACCTCACCTTTGTGTTTTGTTGCTTTAAAAGTCCCACATGGTCGCTCTGTTTGGCTTTATTATTGGCCCAGGTCAGCTGAACAGGGTTGTGGAGTTTGGCTGGAGTCGACTGCAGTCGCTAGAGGAAGACGTAACAGTTAGTAACGTAGAGAGCCCAATACAGAGTCTGTGATTCAAGACATCCAAACTGTCAGGAGCATGAGCACACGTTGAAACAGGGATCTGGATATTGTTTAGAGGAACACAAACACTCACAGATGACACAGTGAAACGGAGTTTATATACCTGCAGCATAATGTGATTAGCTGCTTTTCCCTCACAGGCGTCAGTTTTTTGGTTTCCAGCGACGTGACTGGTCAGTGCAATCAGGAAGTGGTTGCCGTTGCTGTCAGTGACCAGCGTTGGAGCGGAGTCGCTTTTAAGCAGATCCACAGAGAAAGGTAGGGCTGAGCCTGGCTGTTGGTGGAGGTATGCTTGAGGCACCTGCAGAAAAACCCCAAAAACTTTTTAGGGATTTGTCAAGTTATCTGTACATTTCATGCCAGCATTGCAACAAATCCGCTTCCCTCATGATTTGTTAAATTCAGTGCTGTCCTGCTTTGCTTGTTGTGTGTGATTTATTCGAAAATGTGACCAGATGTGGAGACAGTTGCTGAACAAGAGAACTTCACTGGCACACTGAAGAAGCCTGACACTATGTGCTGTTGATAAAACCCATTCCTGACCTGTGGCCATTGCTGCTGCGTTTGCTGTTTCTGCTGCACGAGCACCTGCTGCTGCTTCACATGTATTTTGGTCTGTATCTGGATTTTCTGCAGTTGTTTCGTCTGCTGCTGCTGCTTCAACTGCTGCTGTAGCAGCGACTTTTGTTGCCTCAGCAGAATCTGCTCCTTCAGTTGCATCTGCTGCAGATATTTCGACTGCTGGTGATGTTGCGAATGAGCCGCTTGCTTCTGCTGCTGCAGTTTTTGACATTTCTTCTTTCTCTGCTGGCAAAGTTTCTGCAGGTTCTGCTGATTTTCCAGCAACTGATTGTGGTTCTGAAGTTTGTGCTGCTGCTTCTGAATGTTGTGCTGCTGCTGCAGCAGGAGCTTCTGTATGGCCTGTTGCTGATCCAGCTGCAGAGCAGTCTGCTGGAGACAAACATGCTCTTGTTTGTTCTGTGCGATCTTCTGCTCTGGCTTGAGCTGCAGCTGAATCTGCTCCTGCGACTCCTGAGTTTGGGTCAAAGGCTGCAGTAATCCATTAGTGTCTGGTGATTGGACAGTTGTCTCAGATGCAACTTCTTCTTCCTCCATGGCTTCCTGTTTGACAGTCACGACTGTAACATCCATCTCATGCAATGCCTGAGGGGGAAATGGAGGATGGCCGGTTGAAAGAGCAACACCGGGCTTATCAGGAGGTTCTTCTTTCACTCTTAGAAGAATCTGCGACTCTGGACTCTGACCTTCTCTGCTGCCGTGTTCCAGCTGCATCTTCAGCACCTCCACCAGCTTCTGCTTCTGCCTCAGCATCCTCCTCAGCTCCTCTATCTGCTGATCTTTCTCCTGCAGCATTCTGTCCTTGTCAACAGTCACTACTGGAGCCACGGTTGTGGTGGAAGGGGTGGCTGGAGAAACCGAGCACAGTTTCTGCAGCGAGGCAGACTTTAAGGAGAACTGACAAGGTGCTGGGGTGGAGCACCGGGTCTCCTCTTTAATGCTAGTGGGGAGCAGAGCAGCTGAAGATGGCTGAAGGCTCAGCTGGGTGAGAGGTGAACTCATCTAGAGAGAGACGGGAAAAAAAATAAGGATTTTTTTCAGACTGCTATCATGGGTGTGAATAAAATATGAATGCATTATTATCTATATTTATATGCATATATTTTACTCAACTTTAGTGCACTTGACTGGTTCTGATTAAATGCATTTACATACACCTTCATGCTTATGCAGACATTATAAAATGTTAATGTATGACTGATTAATATCATTATAATTGCTAATATTGATGTCTTTATTATTATGTTAATATTTTATGATGTAGAACTGCAACACTACTTATTTTCATACCATTATTATAAAATCCCATTTATTACTATATATGTGTGTGTGTGTGTGTGTATAAGAGGAAAGGTATCAATGTAAGAAGAGACACATTTCTTGTAACAAATATGTGTTGGAAATCAGGCAGCAGGATGGATTATTTATGAATGCAGTCCAGGTATCACAAAATTTATCGCTTTTATTTTTGAATGAAGCAGATATTTTTTTCCATTGATATATGATCCATTAGAAGATTTTCCCACTGGGTGACGTTCACATTCACACACAAAGACAAATCTTGTTCCCATTTGGATACTGGAAGAGAAATTGCGTTATCAAATTGGTTGAGAATGTTATAAATGTTTGATATGAACTTCTTTCAGACAGACAATTTTAACATTTTTTCAATTGGTTCGGAAAGGGATGCGGCATAACTACATTTCTTGAATTTTGATGAGATTTATTTTAATTGCAAATATTCCAGACACTGAGAGTTTGTAATGCTGAACTTCTGGACAAGAATGGAAGACAGATAAATACATTGTCTTGAATTACTTGGTGAAGGTGTGTCTTTGTCTTCCCACGAGTTAAAATATAAAGTTTAATTATTAATAGTAAAGTCTGGATTGTTCCAAATAGGTGAGCAGAGGGAAGGAGTCACAGAGGAGCTGGAAATGAGTAAGAATTTCCACCAGGATGTCCGAGTTGTTGAAATGGTGATGTTTAGAAAACACTGATGCTGCCTTAGGGTTGAACTGATAAATGGGAGATCTGGCAGTTTAATATCTTTGCATAATACTTGCTCTGTATCTAACCAAAGTGAGTCAGGTATCTAACCAAAGTAGCCACCTTTTGCTGTGATTACTGCTTTGCACACACTCTGCATTCTCTTGATGAGCTTCAAGAGGTAGTCACCTGAAATGGTTTTCACTTCACAGTTGTGCCCTGTCAGGTTGAATAAGAGGGATTTCCTGCCTTATAAATGGGGTTGGGACCATCAGTTGTGTTGTGCAGAAGTCAGGTGGATACACAGCTGATAGTCCTACTGAATAGACTGTTAGAATTTGTATTATGGCAAGAAAAAAGCAGCTATGTAAAGAAAAACGAGTGACCATCATTACTTTAAATTACTTTGAAGGTCATACAGTCTGAAAAATTGGGAAAACTTTGAAAGTGTCCCCAAGTGCAGTCGCAAAAACCATCAAGCAGCAGCTCAGATGAGAGACCATGTCAATGCCACACAGAGTTCTAGCAGCAGACACATCTCTAGAACAACTGTTAAGAGGAGACCGTGTGAATCAGGCCTTCATGGTAGAATAGCTGCTAGGAAACCACTGCTAAGGACAGGCAACAAGCAGAAGAGACTTGTTTGGGCTAAAGAACACAAGAAATGGACATTAGACCAGTGGAAATCTGTGCTTTGGTCTGATGAGTCTAAATTTGAGATCTTTGGTTCCAACCACCGTGTCTTTGTGCGACGCAGAAAAGGTGAACGGATGGACTCTACGTGCCTGGTTCCCACCGTGAAGCATGGAGGAGGAGGTGTGATGGTGTGGGGGTGCTTTGCTGCTGACACTGTTGGGGATTTATTGAAAACTGAAGGCATACTGAACCAGCATGGCGACCACAGCATCTTGCAGCGGCATGCTATTCCATCCGGTTCGCGTTTAGTTGGACAAAATCGCATTCGGACTTTATGTTGAAGTGAAAAATGAGCTCAAAGTGAGTAACATCACGACAAGAACAAAAAAACAAAAAAAAAAACACCCCCAGAACAAAAAAAAAAAAAAAAAAAAAAAAACACCCAGGAACTGCTTTGGGTTCTGAACAAATATTGGCTGTATGTTAATGGATATTACCAGCTGTTCAAATAGTATTTAGTAACATAATGAAGGCATCGGTACACCTTTATTAGTTAAGTATAAGGTGAGTCATGAGTAAGGAAAGTCCAGCACTATCACAAAGAATTTAGTTAAAATACACTTATTTACAACTTAAATATGTGTTGTAGTAAACTGCAATACAACTGTGTCAAGTAAATGAAGCACTGCTGCACATGGAGTGATGCTGAATATTAAAAAACAAAAAGATTCAGTGTACAAGAGCACATTAAAGTGTTTCAGCTGATCTTGACAGAACAACAAGTTCTGGCGTGAGGTGTCATCAATTAATCAAATGTGTAAGATGAAGGACATGTTTCATAAAATTCTGATTTGTCAATCACAGCACCAACAGCAACTGACCAGTTCCCCCAGGGGGTCGCTGCTGAAGCCGGTATCTTCTGGGCTGGTGGCGGCTGGTGAGCGGTCGCAGGGCGTGAGGGAGACGGGTGACAGGGCGAGAGTACCGCCACAGGTGGGGAGGTGCTGCTGTGGTGTCTCTGCATTGCTACCTGCATCTGTACAGGAAGGTTCAGAAAGGGCGTTAGGATATTAAGGTGACAGCACAAAAATCATACATTTATATACACATTTTTTTGTCCTTGAGGTATCCACAGAAAGTCATCTGAGCATATATATTCTTCATCTGATATTATCAGAGAAAACATCCTTGATACACACATATTTCTATCACTTCTTTTAATACTCAAGGCACAATCACCTGATTGGCTGCTCAGAGAAGACGTCGGATGCCACTGAAACCCCTGCTGTTGTGATGTGCTGTTATTTGCAGCATTTTCGGAGGCTCTTCCTGCTCCTTCAGCCCCTGGCCCTGCGGTACCCCCTGCTGTCGGAGAGGAGGTAGTGTCACCGCTTCCGTTCAGCTCCTGGTAGGTCCTCAGCCTCTCGATGAGGTCGTTTTTAGTGCCGGAGACGGGCAAGCTACGCAGCTTCAATTCAGACTTCAGTTCCACCACCTGACAGAAGACGGGGTAAAGGAGAAATTAGGATTCAAGCAAGACAGTGAGGAGGGAAAAAAGCAAAGATATGAGGACAAATATGAAACACAGAATGAAAGCGAATGCAAGAAGACAGAATAATCCATCACTGTCTCTATCTCTAACCACCCCGAGTCGGCAGGCCACTTGCCAGTGACAAAACTTTTGTTGACAGAGGATCTTTTAAATGCTTCAAGTCCTGTCCGCCAGCTACGCCATCGACTCGGCAGCTTGTACAGAGAACTATTGACCTGCACAGTATTGATTACACTAACCTTCATTTCATCCAGGTTTGGAGGCAGGGATGCTGGTTTGGCTCCATTTGAGGGAACGGAGCTGTGGTTGCGCTGGCTAGAAGGGAAGGCTGAAGGTGTGGCAGCAGGTCGAGGTGGGGAGGAGGTCGAGTTGGAGGAGGAAGGTGGCTGCTGATCTGTCTGAGGTCTGTTGGGTAGATAAGAGGATGTCAAGTTCCAAACACCACCTTATATAACTACCTCATCAGAACAGGAAGGAGCAGCTAATTTCCTGGTTGACTCAGGGTGCATGCATGCAGACAAACTTCCCACTCACTTGGGTGGTGCGGGCAGGATGGCGTGATAGTTGTAGTGCTGCTGCTGCTGACTGAGGATCTGCAGCTGCAGGTAAAGCTGCTGCTGGTGGAGGATCTTGGCATACGATGAATCCAGATGGGGGGGAGGCTCTTTATCTCCCTTCTGGTCAGGAGGGATGTACTGATGGTACTTTAACTTTTTTATCTAGAAGGCAACACATTACCAACAGAACAATTTGCCATTACGTTGCTGCTTCTATGACAGATGTTTGTGTCCTCTTAGATTTGCTGCTTCATCAAGTGCTTTAAACTCTACCTTTGGCTTGCTGTCCTTGGTTTTCTTGTGTCTCTGGGCAGCGTGGTCAGACTTCGGTTTAGGCTGCGATTATGAAGAGAAAAATGATGTTGATTAGTGTAACCGTAAACACACCGTATACAGCAATATATCAGATTCTTAATTTGATATCACAACAAAAAGGAACTCTATACTTGTATCGATTTGTCTGGCTACCTGAGGGCAGGACAAGCTATACACACAGTATACAGCATGCCATGTTTCCCTGTTATAAATCTGTTCAAGCACATGCGTTGACAGCTGCATTGTGTAACACATTCATTCAAAGTTGCATTTTGGGAGTAGAAATTTGTTTTTACCATCTCCTATCTTTATTGTTTAATGGGTTAATAAGATGTTTATAATATCAAACTAATGCTTGAAGGAGCTTTAAAGGTTCCATATAGTGAGAAACTATTTTTTTTTTTTTGAATTTCTTCAAAATTTGGACTGACTTATATTAATTTACTAGGTGGTGTAGGGTAGGAAATAAGTTAGACTTATCTCCACACTAAAGCAAATGATTGCATGAATTAAAATTATTAAAGGCAACCTTTAAATTATTCATCTTCCGATATAATTTCAAAGTCAGTACAATAATTCTAATAAACTGTTTACTCTTGGTGATCAATCAAGAGTGTTTTATAATGTCAAGGAATTAACTTTGAGCTTAGGTAACTATACAGATCAGATACGTAAAGTAACTGAAAGTCAGCTATAGATAACACAAGAAACAACTGCATACGCACAAAACATTTATTATGAACTAAACCAAACAAATAACAACAACAAACATAAAACACAAAAAACCAAAACCAAACCAAAAACAAATCCAACTGACTGAATGATTGATATTGTTGTATATAATATATGTCAGACAGGACTCTTTGTCAGATTTGAACCATTTATTTCTTTATACAGAACGTATATTTAGTTTGACGGTGACTCTGCTCAAGTGATACTCTGGAACAATCTGAGCAAGCATGACACAGACATTCCCTGAGATCACTAGATCCCCCGGCAGAGCCAAATGACTGAACAACTGCAAGACAGTATGAAATAGACAATGTTCATATGCCAGTTATGATGAGGAGGAGGATGGGGGGGAGGAGGAGAATGTTGCTTTACAAGGTAACGGCAGCGCGAGTGGCAGCGACTAGGCAGCAATGTGACGAGCACGGGCTAGAATGAATGAATGAATGAGCCTGTTTAAAAGGCGTGTCAATAAGCTGAGTAGGCGCGTGATTGGGCAGAGTAGAACCCGTGATTACCTGACTCCAGCCTGTCTGAACTATCGCGCGGGTTCTTTTTAAAAAAAAATAAAAAAAAAAAAAAAGTGAGCTTTTACAAGATTGAATTTCCCTTCTGGGATAAATAAAGTATTTTTCATTTTCATTTCATTTCAAATGTGGATCAGGAGTGTGGCCTGGAGACTTAAAAGTCTTTCAACGAAGCAGCACGTTTAATCTGTTAAATTTGGAATGTTTGTTTGAAGGCCAATTATAATTTTGAAGCACCCGTTTAGAGATAGAAGCTCGATACTTGCAGTTTCCTCAGCGGGTGCAGCGACGTCTGGTGTTAGGAGAGACGTGGCCTTCAGCTTGGATCAGCATGTTGCAGTTGAAGTTGGCAACATGGAGGACCAAAGTGAGAAGTTCTGTGGTCGGTAGAAAATTCACTGTCTTTCAGGTGAAAGGTTATTTTATAGTAACTTAACTGACCAATCACAAAGAAGTCCCCTCCCAAAGGGGATGTTAGATATGATGCCACTGGGGGTCACATGGTCAGGAGTTTTGTTCCAAAATTAACAGTGTTACTGTAGAACTACATGTACTTGTAATTATACAGAGTTAAACCTGTTGAAAATAAATATCTCGCATTTAGAGGATCACAAAGAGTCTAAACATGAGATATTTATCTCTCACAATTACAAAGATAATACAGGACTAGGATATATGATTAAGCTTGTGGGGTGTTCATCAGGATATTATATACTTTCACATTTAACAAAACTTAAACTAACATAGGATAGTAAAGGCACATTAAGATCCACTTGTGCTTTCTTCACCATTGTCTATGTTTTTTTTTTGTTTTTTTTTAACATTTTATTTATGATTTTTCAGATATCATATACATCAATCATATTATCTGTTCTTGAATTAACCATAGAAAACCATTCCAACAAGAAAGTACCAAAGACAAACCAAACTCAAAGTCAACCTGACAGACTGATCACAGACAACAGGTGATGAGAAAGGAAAAAAAAAAAAAAAGAGGACAAGCGCACCTAACAGTTCTTACTAGAGGGCTGACAAAAAGCAGGGGTAAACATCTAGAGTTCCAGTTCCAGACCAGGTAAATTGTTCACACAAGTTATCAGACGAGTCCAGGTTTTGTAGAATTTGTTGATGGAGCTGTTGCGGGTACATCTGATTTTTTTCCAGTTTGACATTCTGCATAACATCTCTAATCCAGTGGTGGTGTGATGGAGGAGTAGCAGCTTTCCACTAAAAGACAATCAAGCATCTAGCTAATAAGGAGGAAAGAGCAATGCCATTCTGTAAATAAGCAGAGGGAGCAGAACCTGTAGTATCAGATAACCAACCAAAAACAGCCACTAAGGGAGAAGGTGAAATATTATAAGCATAAGCGTTAGAGATGACTTCAAAAAAGGAAGACCAGAAAGGAACACGTTTTGGACAAGACCAGAACATATGATAGGTGGTAGCTGGCTTCTGTTTGCATCTGTCGCATAGTGGATCTATGGCTGGAAATATTCTAGCTAATTTAGCTTTTGAAAAGTGCAACCTGTGTAACACTTTAAACTGTATTAAAGTATGTCTGGAACATATGGAGGAAGAGTGGACTCTAGTAAGAGCTATATCCCATTCTTCGTCAGACAGCTGGGCCCCCAAAATCATTTTCCCACTGTGAAATAGAGAGATTGCAGCTATCCATGATATGGGAATAAATAAATGATGTTCTACTCTTTTCCATCATATTGACCTTTAATATGGAGTCCAAACAGGAAGGAGAGGGGAGTGTAGAGAAATTAGCAATCCTTCTATGAGTAAAATCTCTAATTTCCAAGTATCGTAAAAAATGATTCTTGGTCAGACCAAATTTTTTGGATACTTGCTCAAAGCTGGCAAAGGTATCATTAACATACAGGTCCTCAATACTATGGATGCCCTTGTCATGCCAAATGTTGAAGCCATTGTCCATTAGGAATGGTTGAAAAAGATGATTGAGCATTATTGGTGAGTGAATAGAGATACTCTGAATACCCAGACATCTTTTAAACTGATTTATGACACGTTGTGATTGAGTTACAATTATGTTATCCTTGATATTATTAACTAGCGATGGTAAGGATGCGCAGAGTAAGGCAGGGAGTGAGTGTGGGCTGCTTGTAACCATTAAATCTGAAGCCATGCAGGGATCCTACCATTCCAATCTTTTAACCACAGAGAGATGGCACTGAGGTTCGCTGCCCAATAGTATGCGCACAAATTTGGAAGTGAAAGCCCAGCTGCACGTTTTGGGCAATCCATAAATTCTTTTCTTATGCGAGCTGATTTATTATTCCATATAAAGGACGAGATCACCTGATTAAATGCCTTGAAGAAAGACAGGAATGTAAACTGGCAATGCTTGAAATAAAAATTGAAATAAAAATATTCATCTTTACATAATTTGTTCTCCCGATCAGAGACAGTGGCAAAATAGACCATCTTTTAATATGGTGTTTGCACTGTTCTAACAGAGGAGTGAGGTTACATTTAAACAAACTGTAGTAGGATTTGGTAACTTTTACACCCAGATATGTAAAGGACTCGGCGGACAACTTAAAAGGCAGATTAGGATATTCGCTGACATTGCAACTAATGGGGAAGTATTCACTTTTAGCAAAATTTAATTTGTACCTGGATATGTTCCCAAATTCTCGCAAGACTGTAATAATTTCAGGGGTAGTTGTGATAGGGTTGGTGACATATAGTAATAAGTCATCTGCATATAGCGAGATGGTGTGAGTTAAGCCACCACGTAGGATACCTTGTGTATTATTATTGCATCTGAGAGCTATGGCAAGAGGCTCTATAGCTAAAACAAAAAGCAAAGGACTCACTGGATCCCCTTGTTTCGTCTCTCTGTGAAGAGGAAAACACTCAGATGAGATACCGTTAATATAAACTGAAGCAGATGGATTAGTGTAAATGAGCTTGATAAGGTGAGTGAAGTTGGGGCCAAAACGAAACCTGCCAAGTGTATAAAAAAGATAGTCCCACTCAACCTGATCGAACGCCTTTTCGGCGTCAAGTGATATTACTGCTTCTGGGGATGGAGTGCTAGACTTGGTATAGATGATATTAAACAATCGTCTCAGGTTGAAATAGGATTATCTACCCAGTCTGGTCCTCTGAAATGATATGAGGAAGAATTGTTTCGAGCCGTAGTGCAATGGCCTTTGAAAACACTTTGCCATCACAATTTGTCAAGCTGATTGGTCTGTAAGATGAGCAATCTTGAGGGTTCTTATTCTTCTTTAATAACAGTGTAATAGATGCCTGGCGGAGCGTAGAGGGAAGGATGTTATTTTCTAATGATTCTGCATAGACTGAGAGTAGAAGAGGTGCAAGTTTATCTTTAATTTTTTTATAAAAATCAGTTGGAAACCCGTCTGGGCCAGGGGATGTGGCTATGGATGTGGTGATCTTGTGCTGGAGTGGTCGCACGTGGCTGACGAGGATGAGGTCGATTTGCAGTGGTGCCAGTCTGTTGGAAACGAACTCTTAAACGGCCTATGGTCTGATAATGGACATTGAGCCGTGCAGCTACTGCTCTGGTGGACATCCCTGCATCCAACATGCCAATGGCACGCTCCCACATAACTTGCGACATATGAGGCATTATGACTTGTGACAAAATTTGACATTTTGGGGTGGCCTTTTATTGTCCCCAGTCCAAGGATTGTCCAGCTGTTGCTCATTTTGTCTGATCACCCACTGGACATGCCCCACCCATGCACTGAGTAAAAAAACAACTCACTGAGTAATGCTCACTGACAGCAAGTTGGATTAAAAATTATACACAAATCAAGGGAAATATTACTTTTGTACAATAAAATGTCAGCAAATGCTCATTTACAGCTCAAGTGCGCCCCACCATTGTCTATGTTGATTGCATTCCTTTTAGGTCCAGAGCAGAGAAAGGATGGGCAGTAGAGCAATAAAAATCACCTAGATGTCTGTCTTCCATACAGCCATTTGGCTAGCTAAGACAGATCAGGCTCTTTGGGTTTCGGGGGTTGACACCCGAAGTGGGTGAATGTTTTCCAGAGTGTCTCTTATCTGCCCTTTGAAGGTCTGGTGGTGTGAGAATTTGATTTACAACTTCCTGGGCTCTGGCTCAAAATTGTCAGGCAAGGATGTCAGGCAAGGCTCCGGGCTGTCTGATCAATCGATTTACTACTTCTTGTGACGTGAGCTAGGAAGTTCTGTTTCCCTTTGGCATCTGTGTCTGTTCATACCCTACAGTAGAAACTGGGGAATCGATAGTTGTTGAGCTGGACATTTGCATAACCCTGCCCCATCACTGCCCACTGCTTCCAGAACCATCTTTGCAGTGTTTTGAGCAAAAAAACAAAATATGACAAGACACAATCTGGGAAAATGTGGGGAGACTTTCATTAATTTGTGGGACCTTTAACCCGTTACAGGACACTCATTGAAATATTTGGAAATCTAAAATTTCAACTCTGGAGCGTTATTGGTGGACATAAGAGGATTTGTTTTTCTTTTTAGACTTTTTAAAAAGAAGTTTCACATTTAGGCTGCAAATCAAAGTCAGAGCAGTTACCATATACAATTCCTCTTGTAAAATACATAATATCAGGATTTTTTTTTTTTTTTAATTACACATATAAAGATGAAGGAACATTTATTGCCAAATCACCAGTCAGACTTACAGAACTTCTCACACTTGTGTCAAAAATTCCTTTTGGTTCCTTGTTGTTTGTTCGGGGGCCCCATTGCTTGTGTTGTGATGTAGCCTGACCTTCGTTGATTGGCTGGATCAAGTCATGTGATTCTTCCCACTGCCATTTTTAAGCCCTGCAGAAGTTACCATATAGGGTTCCTTGCCCGATAAAGGATTAAATCAAAGCACAGACAGACTGTCGTCTGTGAACACTAATGAATCCAAGGACATGTTTTTTTTTCCCCCAGTTGAGACAAACATTTATTGACAGGACGTCACTTACCTTGATGTGAGAGTTGGCACCAGCTCTCTGGACCGATGACACCACCGTCCCATCCACAGTATTGGAGGAACTGGAGACGGGTGGAAGTGGAGGAGCCGTGGAAGGGACCTGATGATAACACGAAAACTATGAGTGACCAATGATGGCAAAACTATCATCTTACAACTTTGGCACTGTACCATTTTACAACTGGAAATGACTAAACCGTGTGTGTGACACATTCACTTTGAGCTCCAAGTTTACAATCCTGCATCCATTCTGCACAACACTTTACTCGCACTGTGTAACCGTCTCTCCAGTGATTATACCTGTGTTGGAGATGGGATGCTGCCTCGAGCCAGTGCCTCCAGTGGAGACGGCACAGTTCCCAGGCCTAGAGGACACTCCTGGCTGACTGGCTGTCCTGGTGACAGACTGTCATTACTATCCTCATCGCATGACGAGTTCTCTCCTGAGGCTTTCGGAAACTGCGTCTCTGCAAGGGAGAGGAGGGATTATGGAGATAGTAAATGGTATCTAGATACATAAAACAAACATCAGCACAAGCTACTGCATCTCCCTCCTTCCTCGAGTGTGTGTTCCTATCTTTCTTGTGTACAAAGCCATATAACAAGCTTTTATCACTTTGCCTTTAGAAGTGTTGAGCGAATGGACTCCTTAAAATCAAAACCTGCGGCTCCTGTTAATGTACTAACACCCTGTGAATGTCCTCAGTCTGCCAAATTATCACCAATACTTCCTCTACAAGTATCAGTTCCCTGCATGTGTGTTAATGCCGAAATAAAAACACGTACTCAAGAGATTCTCCTTTAGAACAATGTAGGTTTACCTGCTGCAGAACAACCTAAACACTTGTCCTCCCTGCAGTCACATCTTATCCATCTTGCCAGCTTGAAACGATATCTTCAGCTTCGTCTATGGCGTGGCCACGATGACTCAAGCTTTATCTGCTTTCATTCGTCTAAGTTCATTTGCAGCACAGCCAAGTGAGGCAGGTCACCTCATTCAGACGGGTTTTCATGTGACAGATGGCACCTCTCTGCAGATGACGTTACACTGAGAATTTTTGGCGGATCGTTTGTGTAATTTATGCAATGAATGCATTAACTGTTTTGTGATGGGGGCCCTTCTGTGTATGCCTGCTATTAATAATATCCTCCTTTACAAAATGTTTTACAGGCGAGAAATTAATGTAGCTGAATAAAAACTGACAGAGAAATCAGGTACGGGAATGTAAAGGCCAGCTGCACAGAAACTTGCCACAGGAGAAATGTTACCATATTAGCCAGCATTAGAGGGGTTGAGACATCCCATAGTACAGCAATGAATCCAAGCCATGATTCTCCAGCTAATTTTACCCCCTCAGGCATATCATATAATCACTTTATTATTATGCAGACTTATGAGTCTTCGCTGGGATTTAAAGAATAAAAGTATCTGCGATGATCCCCTGGACGGGTGTGGAGCCTTTTTTTTTTAATTTATTTTTTCAATAAAAGCTGTTATTTAATTACCGCTATTTGCTGCAGCAGAAAGCCACGTAGAGGACACTGCTGGCCGTTTTAATTTATCATCAGCAGGCGTTGATGAAAAGACGACATGGGGCTGATTTAATAGCCTCTGATCCAATAATTTGATGACTTACCTACCGGTGTGCTGTGTTTTGTACGTTGATACCTTCGCATGTCAACTCCGTGTAACACTTAAAGCGGTGATAATGCATTTGTGTTTATTGTGTAGCACTTGACAGAGATGAATAATCTGCTGACACCGTACGTTATTGAATCTCAGCATTCTTCCCACAGCACATCAATCAAGCAGCTGGACCCACCACCTCTGATCTCATTCTCTGTCAGTGCCAGCAAAGGTATAAATACATTAAAAAAAAAAAAAAAAAAATATAAATACATTAAAAAAAAAAAAAAAAGAAAGTTGTTTGTGTTCAACATGCAAATCACATTAAGAGAGCATGGAGCTTTATTTGTTTTATCATTTATGTTGGCATACAGAATTCTGGAGTTGATGGTTGACAACAACTGAGAAAAATGTCATTAATGTAACGCCAGTTGTTTGATTAGCACGTGATTCTGCTAGTAGCTGCTTTTATTTAAGGACGCTGCGGCTACTTAAAGCTGACAGCGGAAAGAGAAGCGATGTCTTCACTTCCCATCTGTCAAGCAGGAATGAGAGGGCATGCATGATTTACTGCATCCCACTTTAACCTTTCTAAACCCACAGAAGTGGCCGTTTGAAGTATGAATACTCAGGTGGGGGAGTCTGCGTGTCACACGGTTCTTTGCGGACATATTGGAAATAAATGCTCGCCTTTGTTTTAACTGTCTTCTGCCCGATGTGTGTGTGTGTGTGTGTGTGTGTGTGTGTGTGTGTGTGTGTGTGTTGCAAACAGCTGAGTGGCAGGATCAGTCTGCTCATGATAGCTGGAGGAGGAGGCCAGGAGGGACGTCCTGTCAGGAGCCTCAGAGTGTGGGTGTGTTGTGATAGAGCACGCTTTTAATTTTACACTACACCTCCCACCTCTGCAGGATATATAACACATTTACATATTTACAATTGTATGCCTTTTGATTTGCAACCACTAGGGGGCAGAAACAACAAATGAAGTCATACATAAAGTTTAGAGGGACTGCAAGGTGGACAGGTGGTTAGCACCATTGCCTCACAGCAAGAAGGTCGCCGGTTCGCGTCCCGGTAAGGACATCCGGGATCTATCTGTGTGGAGTTTGTATGTTGTCCCTGTGCAGCGTGGGTTCTCTCCAGGTTCTCCGGCTTCCTCCCACAAGGTCCAAAAACATGTTGAGGTTAATTGGTGATTCTAAATTGTCCGTAGGTGTGAATGTGAGCATGCATGTTTGTCTGTCTCTAAGTGTAGCCCTGTGATAGACTGGTGACCTGTCCAGGGTGTCGGCTGGAATAGGCTCCAGGCCCCCCCCCCCGCGACCCCAGTGAAGATTAAGATTAAGCGGTGTATTGAGAATGGATGAAGTTTAGAACGTTTCTATAGACAGAAGTAGAAATTTATAATATGAGTGAAATTTAAAAAGTGAAAAGAAGTTTATACAATAACATGACGAGAGTCTCAAACCAGCCGCCATTGGTGCATCTATATTCTTACAGTCCTTCTGCTTGTTCTCATCACATTGTTAATGTAGTTCAAGACGAAGGAGCCTGTGTTCATTCATAAATAATTCAATGCTTAAATTATCCAAGCTGATGTTTTGCTTCACTAGATAGAAGAAAGAGATATTCAGCATAGCAAAGTTGAAAATGCCCCCAAAAAATAGTTCCTTTGTCCAGTCTGTGTATTCGATTTTTCTTTTTTAATATGAGGACCGCCATCTAAAACCTGGCTTACCTATCATGGCCTGTTTAATGCTGGAGTGAACTGGCAGGATGTTCTTGTGGATCAGCTCCATGGGACCCGGTCGGTGGGCAATCTTATCGTTCAAATCATCGGCGAGGCGAGCTCTCTTTAGCTGCAGCTGCTTGGCCTGAAGCGATGGCTCTGCTAACGTCTCTGGATAAAAAAAAAAAACAAGGAAAATTCTTTACAAGAGCACAGGAAACCTTTAAGTCACCTATTAGACTGGCCTCAGCTCCAGACAGGCAGGGGACGCTATGTGGTACTTACCCTCCAAGATGTGCATCCTGATCAGTTCGGTTTTCTCTGGCCGACTCCTGATCTTCCTCTTGAGGTAGTCCTCAGTCTGAAGAGAGACAGAAGGTCACACAGTGGCTCCAAACGCTTTGTTGTTGTTTGTTTTTGTCAGGACAGTGTCTTCGAGCAGGGATGCTGATGAAGCCGATTTTTCCATTTTTAGATTAATTTTATGTTTCCCAATTATTGTAGCTATTCACTAATGGGGAACTCATTTTAGCTTCACTTTAACTATTCCCAATATACGGACACAGATGTTATATAAGATATACTATTAGATTATAAATATCACACATTAAATCCAAATAACAATTTGTAAAACTTTCTCATAGGGGATCCAGGGAATCCTTGGATTTGTTGAATCATAATTTTTTCTCTAAATTAATCAGGCTAATCTCAATAATTATTAATGCTGTAGGGTTTTAACTCTAATATTTGTATTAGTTTGGTTAAGTTCTGTAATTCATAATGCTGTAGGTTCTATATTGTTACATTAGATAGATTATTCTCCATAATAAATAACACTGTAGGGTTTCCGCCTTTTAATATGTTTTATATAATTTTGAAAGGGTTTGAAACCCCCAATATGCAAGTTACTCAGCTAAACTGACACTCTAGATTCTTTACCACAATATTTAAACTTGTTTCATAATACCAATCATAATCTTTTTTACTCAAAAGCAATGTTGTCTTAAAGTTGTTAAATAAAAAAAACTGTGACTTGACTCCACAATCTCTTCATGCATCCCTTCACAACTTTAGATAACAAGTCTCCATAGGAATCATTGATTTACTTAGTGGACAGTTTTACGTCGCACCTTACAGTCCAATAACAGCATTCATTTTCTATGCTGATGACATTATCTCTTTTGTTTGTTTTTTGTTGTTGTTCTTTTTCAGCTTTTCTGTACAAGATTATAATTCTGTAATGATGTTGGACGATACAAAGCCTCTCAACCCAAAGGATTTAAGTCTCACCCGAGCTCGTTCCAAGCTCCGCCTCTGTTCCTGGAAGGTGGCCGAACTTTTCAGCGCTTGATGGATAAAGAGAGAGAGGAGAGTAAAGATGGAAGAAAAAAGAAACAACAGTGAGGGTATTCATACTACTGAGGACAGCAAATAAGCTTTGAATGGTTTCTACGGTTCACTTTCAGCTCAGCATAAACAGATTTATTGCTCAAAATGATTATTGCTCTTCTATAGCCAGAGCTTTTCCTGCGTACCATACCAGTGCAGTGAATGCTTACTTCCACTGTGCACTGATAGCCTAAGTAGTGGTCAGAGACACTGCTTCTGCAAAAACCACAAAGGTAAAGGAGAAATGTGAACAGATAAAGTCTGAGGGTTTCAGTCCAATGAGCAGTGCAGTTCCTCAAACACATTCAGAGATTATTTCTTCCTAATTATGCAAATACCTGAGGATTAGTGGTTCTGGAAACCTTGAAACCCAACAGGTAGTTATGATACCAAAATGCTTAGTTAAATGCAACAGGATTTATAGCTTTGCTTCTAAACAATTATGGCTGAAACAGAGAAGAAGATTAAATCTCATACAGTGTAAAAATGTTATATTATCTATCAGAAGCAGATTATTTTATAGAAGTGGACCCAAAGGAAGTGAACATGGACAAGTTGTACATGATGGAAAACAGCCTCTGTAAGGAGCCTCCATGCAAGTATAGGTGGACATTTAAGAAATAATTTTGACAAATGAATTACAAAACCTGCATCGTATGAACATTATTAAATAATTATTAATTTTACTTCAAGACACAAAGATCAGTAAATCCAGAAAAAATGTGGAGAACATCTTTCTGAAAACCATCAAAGGCTTCAATGAAAGCGGCTCTCATGAGGCTCAACGCAGGCAAAGAAGACCAAGAGTCCCCTCAGCTACAGAGAACAAGTTCATTAGAGTTACCAGCGGAAGAAATCCCCAATTAGCACCACTTCAAGCCAACATCAATGCTTCAAGTAGAAGACATTGCTGCAAAGAAACCATTGCCAAGGGAGCCCAACGGAAACAGCAGAACCGCTTGTGCCAAGAAACACAAGGGATGGACGTTAAAACAGGGGAAATCTGGGCTTTGGCCTACAACTTTTGATTTTTAGTCACAGCCACCAAGTCGTGAAGCAGGTGAACAGATGATAGCTGCACGTGTGGTTCCCACTATGGAGCGTGAAGGAGGAGCTGCGATATGTGACTGTGCGCGATTTATTCAATTTTCATGGCAACACTCAACCAGCGTGGCTACCACAATATTCTGCAGTGACACATCGTCCCATCTGGTTTGAGCTCAGTGGGACCATGTTTTTTTTTCCAACAGGACAATGAGCCAAAATTCTTAAACCCAACTGAGATGGACAAGTTGGATGATGGAGTGAGGGAAAAGCAGCCAATGATTGCTCAGCATATGCAAGAATTTAGTCAAGACTGTTGGAAAAGCTTTGGGTGGCGATTTCATGCAGCTGGTTGGAGAATGAAGCAAAGAAGAGGCTGCTTCTGCTAGTTTTTGCTATGACTGCAGGATGCGCCCACTGTTACAATATCGTGACATGTTTGGCATTGTTGTAGCTCTCTGCCAGCCCACGAGAAGAGAGGTGAACCAGTGACGGGGTTAATGTGTGTTTATGCATCCAAACTGGGCAGGCAGTGTATGATTCATAGCCCTCTGCACGGACTATTACTCAACTTTAGCGCAACAGAATTGTAGTTTTTGTGTCTGAAACTTACAGAAGTTTTCAGTGCGTACTCGTGTTTGGTGACGATGGCTGCAGCACAGGTCTGATCAGTAAAGATGCCAGGTCTGCACTTTAATTCCATAATTTTAAATCCAATGCACTGGTGCTGACACAACAGAAAATGCGTTTGCTGTCCTACTTCTGTCTCACTGAACTGTACACACACACACACACACACACACACACACACACACAGTGGTATGACTGGATTAGCAACCCCCGGGCACCACTGCTGGTACCTGCTCAAGCCTCAGTTCACGTCACTGAGCACTGTCACACTGCTGGTACACACTCCCTACTGCACACCCCGGGGACATCGGCTCTCTCAGACCTCTCACCCACCCACAAGGGTGTTATGTGGCCTCCTGAAGGGTGCACAAACCTGCCTGTCAGTCAGCCACATTGGAAATGAGCGGCAGGAATGGAGGGAAGGGACAGACGGACGGATGGATGAGCACCAAGTGGGCGATAAAAGCGAAAGGGAGGGAAATAGATTGGAAGAAGATGGAGGATCGTAAAAACGGATGGAGGGAGGATGAGATAAATGGGGAGAGGCAAGCTGGAAGAAAAATGGGACAACAGACCGAAGGGTGAATGAAGAGGAAATAGAGAGTGGTGGGATGAGGTCAGAGAGAAAAGACCCCATTTTGTGCATGAGCGGCTTCTCGCCACCCTGCTAAAGCTAACCAACAGTCCCGCTCTTTAAACTCTGGGAACATTGAGCAGCCTCATTTTCTCTGGCGGTGGTGGTCTTTTTATGTTGCTGACTCGTGCTTTGTTTTTCCAGCGTGTTAACTGAAAAGCTTCTCGGTATTTTGCTTTAGTGTCCTACAGGTCAGCTGTTTAACCCTCATCTTACCAACATATTTAACACACAAGGACTACTGACTGGGCTCGCTGGGAATCCCTGCAAGCATAAACTACAGTTGACTTAACTATTTCATCTTGTCATATTGCGTATTTAAGGTCTTACTTATTAGTTTGACATTTGTTTAATTGTTAAGCGCTTTATGACTTGTTTTTTTTTGTTTTTTTTGAAGTGCTATACAAATAATAATTTGGTAAAAATTTGGTAATAATAAATTGTTGTTGTTGTAGCAGCAGTAATAGTTGTTGTAGCACTCGTTCCATCCATCCATCCATTATCTATACACCACTTAATCCTCACGAGGGTCGTGGGGGGGCTGGAGTCTATCCCAGCTGACTTAGGGCGAAGGCAGGGGACACCCTGGACAGGTCGCCAGTCCATCGCAGGGCCACACTCAGAGACAGACAACCAAGCACACTCACATTCCTCACATTCACACCAACGGACAATTTAGAATCACGATTAACCTCAACATGTTTTTGGACCTTGTGGGAGGAAGCCGGAGAACCCGGAGAGAACCCACGCTGCACATGCAAACTCCACGATTCAATCCAAAGATTCTGGTGCCCCCACCGGGACGCGAACCGGCAACCTTCTTGCTGCGAGGCAACAATGCTACCAACTGCGCCACCCTGCAGCGTAGTGCTAGTTGCTTCTTTTAATTTTTATCTATTTATATTATTGTTGTTTTGTCTTTTTTATATTTATATTGATATTCTTTATTATGTATATGGGAGTGTGCAAATCAGACAGTTTCATTACACAGTGTTAAACCGTTGTGCTGCGCATATGACAACAAATGTCTATCTAAATTAAAAATAGACACTTTTTAAAAATAAAAAGTACAGCTTTTATCTCAAGCACTGTCCACAGTATACATGAAAGTTTATTTCCCATTCTTTGCTTCCAGTATAATTTTGTTTTCAGTAACGTCAGAAAACATTTGAGTTATATTCATGGAGTGAAACCAACCACAGTGAGTGTTTGGATAACTCTTGCCAATCAGACTGTATGTCAAAAGTAATGAAACATTTCAGCATAAAAGCATGTATTGTATTTCTGACTTTAAAGTTTGATCCTATCACCTTGGGAAAAGTTGTAGTTAGAGTTGTCTGAACCCTAATGCCACCCAGGACCCCAAAATATACGTTTAAAAAGTCCAAAATACAACAGAAACTGAAAACAATGTGAAGCTATTAGGAACAAATGTACAAAGTAGTGAAAAACTGGAATGAGAGAATAAACAACCTGTGAGATAGGACATGAAGTGTAGCTCTGAGGTCTGCAGTTACTCCAGTTGGCAGGATTAAAGTTAAACTGTCTGACATATTTGTAAACTCCACAAAATACATAGACCACAAGTTAGATGCACCATATCTGGCCCGTAAGTGTAAATCTGGTACTTGCATGAATGCAGAGTTTTATATTTAGTAGATATTATCGAATTCACATACGCTTCACTTAAAATAATCAAAAGAGTTCCACTGGTGGGTTAGCTCGGACTCATTCTACTCTTTATATTTCTCTCACCAAAGCATCTTTTAAAAAGGCTTCAGCAGTGCTTTAACTTAGATAACGCGCTCTCTTAAATGGTGTAAAAGTGTCAGACATTGTGCTTGTTATACGCCACGTCAAAATAACCCGAGTACGTGCCACCGCCTCAAGCACACGGAAGATTATAGAAACACAGCATTAAGGGTTCTTATTATGAATGGTTATTGTGAAGGAACAAAACACAAAACAGGTGAAGTAAATGAAGAAACAGTCACAATAAAGTCAAAGTACCTTTAGGCTCACATTACCTAGAAAAAATCCTGTTTGAAAGCGTTCAATGAGATGCTTGAGGAAAAAAAGAAAAAAAAAGAAAATAGACGGGATCTTGAAAGATGCTTTGATGTGGGATAAAGCCAGAGATAGCGAGACACGGAGACGGATGGACGGAGAGGAACAACATCTTTGAGGTCAAGTGGCTGTTTGTGAGACTAACACACCCCTGAACTGGAGAGGAGCTCTTCCTCTGAAGTCTAATCTGCTGTTTTTCTGAAGGAGATGAACAGAATGCGGATGGCTGAGGAGGATGAAGGAGGAATGAAGTGAACAAAGGAGAGTAAAGATGCAGAAAATGAGGGATGGGAAGAGAAGTGACAGCAAAAGAGACGAGAAGCAGAAATAAAGAGGTAAACTGTAGAGATGTTGTCCTCCAAAAGCACCAGATATCCTGATCGCTGCCCTTTAACTGAGTGTTGTCGCTGCTCTCTGTCTTCACGACAGGCTGAATGGACAATTATGATGAAGGTCATCTCTATTATGAAAATGTTGCGATTCTAGCTCGAGCCTAAACTTAGTCAAGTGGCTTCAAAGATGATTGTCAATGACACTCATACCAAAGGGTCCTGCAACTGCAATATAGCGTTTATGTGACTTTCAGCTTTGACAGAATTCATTCTCTTTACACCCAGGCTCATGCAATCCAGCCCCAGAAAGCTGCAGGAGTTGCGACACTGGGTCAAAACATGCACCTAATGAAGCAACAAGCCTTTGGTTAAGAAGCTGTCAGAATAATTCTATGTTTTGATCCAATGATCTTTGTGAAAAGTCTATGAGTTACTGCTGTAAATATCCATTACTTCTACTGAACTTTGTGAGTGTGAGATAAAGACAAGATGTTCTTAGCGGGCAGTCAAAACACCATGAGAACTTATTGCGCCCATTTGCGGGAGGTTGTTTTCTGTTTTCTGTTCACTGTATGTAAGAGCCAGTGCTTCACGCTTTTAGTCCGTCACTTGTTCAGAATCTGTACTGTGCATGTTGGCTCCCTGCTGCAAGTAAAAGTTTGCTTTGACTTGAGAGACGACCGTGTGCTGATTCGGAGCAGTTAGGACTCCATTGCAGAATTTTCTTAACATTTTTGGTCCTTTGAGCCGGATCCCAAAATCCTTCCTCAAGGCAGGTTTGGGGCTGAAACCGTGCACGTGGGAGTCCAGGACTCCTGAAAGAAAGACCTCCGTCTTGAATGAGACGTGAAAAGAGGCCAGCCACCACTGTACAGAAGAGGGTGATGGGATTTAAGGAACAAAGAAAAGAGTCGTCACAAGTCAAAGATAGGTCTAGTTCTGTTTTCTTAACAGGAGCCTAGAAAGGCTCGGGCTGTCATTCCCTCGATGTCTGGTGCCAGCTAGTGGCAGCTGGATCCTTTTTTCCCCTCCCTCTCTCTGGCTCTCTCTCTTTCTCTCTCAGGTGGGCCTCAGCACGGCTGGCGGCGGAGCATGCGGACAGGTGTACCAGGTGACCAGATTGGCGCTGCGGGATTGGTCCGTTCCAGCTGCAACCTTTCCATCAGTCAGGATTTCAGCAGCGGTTGGACCATGCTCAGACGCCAGACCGTCGTACCACGCAGTCAGTCTTAGTTTTTGCACTCGTCTAGCCGCTTACTACTCAACTGGTATCTAACTCCTGTTTTTCCTCTGGATCCAGCTGGATCTGCTGCCAACCGCACCACACCTGTCTGCCTTCACTCATGGTTCAGCTGCCCTCCGGGTCCCTCCGCCACCAGCTGTTGCTCTCCCGCACTCTCTCCGTATTGAGCCAGTTTTAAGCCTGTTTACCTCCGTCAGTAGTTTTTGCATTTATCGTAAATCTAGTGTGTTTCTTAGCTCGTCGTAGATCCGTTGTGGTTTCTGTGCCTCGTCAGTGTGCTCCTTATTAGCTCTGTTGTTCCAGCCTGCCAGCAAGTTCCTGTTTGCTGTCCGTTATTAGCCTTTTTCTGTTTAGCCAGTCCCAGTGGTGGCTGGTGAAAGTTTTTGGTGAGGGACGCCATCTGCAAATGACCTTTTGTTTTAAATTAGAATATGAGTAACTTCGGGCACAAACATTTACAGGAATGCAAACTGTCTACCTTTGGAGGATATTCTAATCATAATATAATTTAACGTTATCAAGAATTACCAGAGGTAAACTTCAAACCATTCATCAAACTTTCATCATCAATATTTACAGGATCTGTACAAACTCAAAACACACAACATAAATAATGAAAAAAAAAAACACTATTCAGGGCTCCAGACTGACTCTTTCACCGGTAGCACCAGTACGATCCACTTCCTCATTTTGTCCCACCTCCCACCTGGTCAAAGGTAAAACATATGAGTTGCTGAACATTTTCTTATCGATAGACGATTTACTGATGCTCCCTGAACGCCCCACACAGCAGGCTGTGGTAGCTGCTGTTTCGTTAATCATCAATGTGAAGAAAATGAGCTAAATGTGAGAAAAGTGAGCTAAATATTCAAAATATATCAGCGAGAAAAGTGTGACTGATTTTTTACATTCGGCACCTCATAGAGGAGGGGAAAGGCCGTGGACCGTGTCAGAAAGCGCGGTCCTAAGAACGTCGAAAGACAGTTTTGATGTCCAACCACAGAAGACAAAAGCAAACAAAGACAAAATTAACTGGCTTACAGCAAAAGTGGGAGGGTCCGGAACGCACCGAGCTGCCTCCCATGAGAAAGACTGCAGCTGCCAATCAGAGCCCGGGCCAAGGTCACATGATCATGAAAAGTTTTTCGAGCGACATACACACTCAAGAAGTGTAAAATTAGTAAACACACAGTAAAGACTTATATTAAATCTGTTAATAATACAAGTATTGTTAATATATCAAGAAAATATGAATGTTATTCATTTTAATATTATTTTGTTATAATTAATTACAATTTAATTTTACGTTTGAGAACTCCTTTTTATCTGGATATTCGTAGTGGGAGGGCGGCGCCCTTGCGCCCTGTATTAACCAGCCGCCACTGGCCAGTCCATTATCTCAACACTTTAGCCTGAGCTTCTTTTGTTAGTGTTTTGTTACCAATCAGTGTTCTCAGCATTGTCGTCGGAGCCCCTTTTGTTAACGTTTGGTTTATCTGCCTGTTAGTTACTTAACACTTAGTTGAGCAGTTCGATTATTCTATCAGTTTTCTTCCTAGCCAAATATTACCTGGTCCTGGTTGAGCCTTTTTGATATTGTGTTGTTTTGATTCTCATTTTTGTAAAATAAACTACTAAAGCTGATTCAGTTTGCTGTGTCTCTGCCCTGCCCGTAACACGGGCTAACTCCCAGCCAGTTGCTACAGAGAGGCAGAGCAGGAAAAAAAAGTCAAGACAGATAAGAGGCGTGATAACACTAACTCTGGTCACACTCTGATCACAGCGAGGCCACAGCTCAGCCTCGTTCACTCAAACACCTACAAGTCGTAGCTGCTCTCGACACAGACAATGAAAACCTCAACAGAACCATTTGTCCTCTCATTTTTTTTTTAACAGCAAATTTGATTTTGTGTCGTCCCACGTCAGAGTGGCTCCGACTGTTAATGAAGCCTGCACTGAAAGATAAGAACTGGTTGTTGTAATATAGCAGCTACAGGGACCTACAGTGAGGGGAAATGTGTGCAATTGTGTTGCAGAATACACACACCTGCAAAAGTATGGTGAATGCATGAAAAAAAAAGTCTGCGTAAATAGTTTTCAGGCTGCCAATTCAAGCATTTACCACATGCAACAATAGGAAGCAGATAAGACACGCAGCACAGAACACTTCCTGTTTGACAACACGTGGGTGAAGTGAAAATGAATGAGCTGTGAGAATATATTATGAGATAAACTGTCAAAGAAAGCAAAGCAGAAACCAAAAATTTGTGGAAGTTGACTAAGTCCTAAGCAGAAAATAATGGGGCTCTAATACTGATCTGTAGATGAGGTATATTATTGTCCGGTACCACAAGCAGCACTTTAAAAAGATCCAACCGGAACCATCTGACGAGTTCGAGCCCGACAGCAGAAGAGGAAATCTCTCAATCAGATAAAAAGCAGTTAACGGATGTTCGTGATGTCAGTTACATGACCTTGATTCCCTTCTGAAGACCGAAACTGCCGTCTGTCAGGAGACGATGGCAGCGGCTTAACCGTGTTTCAAATCACTACAGAAACTCTTGTGGTGCAAAGTAAAAGAAAAAAAAGGGCTCTAAATCTAAAACAATATGACAGGTTCTCACAGTGTAGACTGGAATGAAAAACCTCGACGTGAAGTCAGTCATGTGAAATGAACAGACAGTTGCCAGTTTGGCTTTAGGGTCACCTAACTGCAGCTAATGCAGTTGCTGTTGTGTCATTATGAAAGCTGATGAATTGTCTTCTTTCTCTGTGGTTTATGGTGTTAGATGATTTGTATTTTGTCTGGTTTTTTTTTACTCGTGCACTGCAGTAAACTCTTTTTTTGCATGTTTTCTGCTTGTGCTGTCACGGATTATTGTGGCCAAAATCATCTATATATCAAAAGAGAATTTAAATAATAACAGAATCTGCAACTAAAACTATACTGAATGTTGTTCTTAGATAGTTACTGTTGTATGCTAACTATCATATTATTAACATTATTTCAATACTTAACTTATTAAATAGCCAGATTTTTTTTTTTAATACTGATATATCAGCAAAAAGAAAAAACACGATTGTGTGCTGTTGTACTTGATTAGTTGATAAAAAGAAACAGGCTATCTAAATAGACCACCTGAAACAGGCATTAATTTTACTATTTAATGGTATTTTTCAGACAGAACTGAAAAATAATCACAACTGGCAACTACATCAGGCTGAAAAATCGACTTTTTAAATGTTCACATAATTTGAAAAGAACATTGGTAACTTCAATCTTAAATCATTTACTGTGAACTAAGTTGGAGTTGTTGTGATGTTTACCAGCAGGCCGCTAACACTCTACGTTTTAGCTTTAAGTTCATTTTTACAAGAACAATGAATGAATGAATGAATGAATGTCTGTGAAGATTCTCAGTCATCCAGGTCGTGGTTATTCTTGTAGTTTAATCGTAGCAGCTGGACTTGCTTGAGTTTCTTGAAGACATTTCACCTCTCATCCAAGAGGCTTCATCACCTCTGACTGACTAGTTGGGAGTTCTTATTTCCTTAAGGAGCTAACATTTCGAAAGTCAACTGTTAATGAAGGGTGACAGGTGAAACGTCTTCAAGAAACTCAAGAGAGTCCAGTTGCTAAACTACGAGAAGAATGAATGGGCTTTACTAACTGATATACACTAAAATGTGATTTGAATATGTCACATCAGCTACGTGTTACCGCTCAAACCGAATGCTTTTATGTAAAATATTGTACTTACGGGGCATGATTCCTTGGCTGACCAGTTCTTCTCTGGTCCTTCTCTGCTGCAACTTCAGCTGAAGAACTGAAGACAGAAAAAAAGAGGACGCAGCAGAATGAATCGAGAACGTCATCAAACAGGCTACGCATCGCTTCCACCTGAGTTCTCAGACACAGAAAGCCACAACGGCGGTGACTTTACTCACAGCTCAGAGGCACAGCTTGAAAAAACATCAGATTAAAAAAAAGGCCTATGAATAAATTATGGAAGCAATAAATGTCAGTAATAATGGTGCAGCCGCTACATCTAAGGTGTTCTTTTGAGAGGTTTTTATCAACCCTGTTACCTGCTAATGAAATTTGTGGTCCTCTGTTGCAGGATGCACAAAGGTTATGTCACACACTGTACAGGGAAATCAAACGCACACATGAACACACGGCAGTTTCCTGTTTCAAGTTTTTGATTAAATAGCAGCACACACACTCATGACATTTGATCAGCACAAAGAGGAGGAAGGAGAAAAAAAGACATAAAGATTTCAAAATGGATATTTAAAGAGCAACCCTGATGTTTATTACTTAAAAAAGTGCATTTCTTATTCTATCAAATAACTTTAAAAAGTTATTAAACCTGTCCTGAACCAGCCTCACTGAGAAAATCTGATATTTTCTCATATCTGCAAAAACATTTTTTTGGTGCTGGGTTGAACTTCCAAGATGATATGAAAATAGGAATTGGCAGGAAATGATTTTCTGCTCATCAGAAGGCGAAGCTCCTTCCTCAGTGCTGCAGGAATGCGGCTGCACTGCTGCACTGTGGGTTACGACCAGTAATAAGACTGAGCTTAAAGCAGAACCCAATGACCTTGACTACAGGAGAGTATAAAATGAATCTTGCATGCACACATTGAACATGGACCTTCTTTTACTTTGTAATATTTCATCCCTAATTTCCAAAACATGCACACCATCAAGTGGATAAATGTATCTCTTTACTGTAAAACCTCTAAAAGTCATTTCTTCTGATGAGAGGTCCGAAAGGACGAATTCATAAAGTCAAAATTTACTGCTGTGCCTTCTGAGCTGAAGTTGATCGCCCCAATGACATTCAAACTGTCGCTCATCTTTCCCCAGCGGAGCAGAGCGTTCTTTCGCTGCAGGTCGAGACCCCACGTGGGGTCACTTGATCAGGAGCCGAGTTCACAAAGTCAAGCGGAACGAACTCATCACTTGATCTGTACAGGAACTACAACTAAAAAAAGAGACAGATAAGTTATCAAAAAAAAGGTAGATGCGATAGGATTGCATTAGTTAATATGTAATAAATAGTTCTACATGTACACTTTTGTATTAATTTTAAAAAACACGTTTACCAACTAGTGAAGTTGCAGAATATATCCATGTCAGTCCACTTGACCTTTGCCTTTTGGAATCACTTTATCATTTTATCCTATTTTGTAATATCTGGTGCTAATTCTTGAGTTATTGGCAAATGCTTCTCTGTGAAGTTACAGCAATCCTAGCACCAGCATTTAATTAGTTAATCTCTGAATGTTTGTGCAAAATTTGAAAAAACTCACCTAAATTTGTTCCTGAGGTATCACATTTAAAAGATTGGAACAAATGGAAAACCGAAAAACATAATGATCTGACAACTCAATTAACAGCAGGTTCTATATAGGAGAGTTTGGGCATAAATGTAGCATTCATGTAGCGGCAAATAATTGTTTGCTATGTATGATAAAGTGGAGTAATGTCATCTTTAGCAAAACACCACACAGTCTGTTTTGGTTGCTGCATGCATTTTAGTGCATGTGAGTCCACTCCTTCCAACCCTTCCTGCATTTGTAAACAGAATGAAAGTGACTCCAACGCCACATTGCAAAAGTTGCCCAAAAAACCAAAGAATTTTAAAAAGTAAATAAATAAAATTGGATATTATTTGTCTCATTTATGTACATGTGATGATTCCAGCTCAGTGCAAGTCTCCACTGCTGCTCTCTGTTTCACCACATACGTCGCCTCTTATGTGTATGGTGGTGAAACAGACACACATCAAGCGGAGCAGGTCGAGTGAAGATAACATTACTTGAGTTTACGACAAGCCGTTACCGCCATTAAATATAGTTTACAAAAGCTTGTGTGGGGAGGTTCTGGCTGTATTTTTTAAATTGTCTCTTTTTCGGTTTGTTTTGGTCTGAGAACCAGTTCTGAATGTCACATACAACACTTTTAAAAGGAGCACAAAAATATGAACTAGACCTGATGTTTAGATGCTTACAGGTCAGTTATTTTTACACTAAATCTGTAGACAATTTTAATTGCTGCCTCATAGGATAAAGGAAAGCTGATGGCCTAGAGAGTGACAGAGCTGAAATCCTATTAAACTGATTAAATGCATTGCCATACTGTACTTTATATGATGAGACTGAACATGTTCTGGACTTCAAATCTGGTCTAAGCTTGAATCCAAGTCTCTACATTTTTCCATCCTCTGGTCCACTTCCCTGATTCTCTTTCCATCCCTTCACAAACCCACATCATCCCTCATCAACCATCACACGACTGTCCTCTTTTCTTTTGGTTTCCTGAAACAGTCTAGCTCTGATGTTCATTTCTTCCTCTTTGTTTTGCCTCTAAAGTCTCAGTTACTCAGACCTTGTCATGCATATGCACCATTTCCCCCCCTTGTCTTCATGCATATCAAGTCTACATACATGTTGTTCTGTATAGCATAGCATAGCATAGCATAGTATAGTATAGTATAGTATAGTATAGTATAGTATAGCATTCAGATGTTTGAGCATTGCCATCATTTTTAGTCCTCTAATTTTGAACTAACGAGAACGCACACTGCCGCTTGTGGCCTGCTAAGAGCCGAATATGCAGACAGTCCCTCTGTGTGTCCTACAGAAGCCCGAGATAGAAAAAAAAAACATTCGTATTCCTTTGATTTCTGCGATGAGGAAGCTGATGCAGAATGGTGCAGTTGCTCCCCTTGGCAGTGGGAAAGATTTAACTGGCTCCTGCAGGCAAACACGGGCAGACTAACAAAACAAACATTAACACAGATACTCATTGCAAGCACACATAACGTTTGCACATAGCAGTGCACGGTAGAGCAAGCGCATTTTAATACCTCCACTGCACGCACACACACACACACACACACACACACACACACAGAAACGCACTCGAAACAGTTGTTCTCGAGGCAGATGATTTGTGCCGAGAGATGACAGGAAAGTGATGCAACGTGCTGATACAGGATCTATTCTGGGAAAGTGTGCTTATTGTTCAAATGCCACAACACCGCAGCAAGTCTACCTTTACTCTACAGTTTGTGCAGACTTAGAGCAATCCTAGTGAGCTCACAGCCTACAATGTACAGGCAACATTCAAGAGGAGACTGGAACTGAGAGTACACATGGAAACAAGACCTTTCTAGAGGGTATGTAAGCTCTGAAATAGGCTAAAGCCAATTCGTCATCTAGTAAAAGAAGTTAGGTACTTGGCATTCTGACATGTGGGCTCTGAAGCAAATTGTAATGTGTTTTTTTTTTTTCAGGGAAAAAAAAAATTACAGAGAAATGTAGCTATTTTGTGTGACAGCAGTCTAATCATCTGCTGTCCAATCACTGACTAACAACTACAGGTAAGTTAAGGTTTGGATGTCTACATGTGCTTCAGTGATGTCCACAGGATCGTTTAAAAAAAAAATTTTTTTTTTTTTGATTTATTTAGAGCCATTTTTTCACTTTTAAACCAATAATCCAGCAACAACAGAATCAATTAAACTGCTTCTTTTGTACCTATAAAAATACAATCCAATTACCCCAAAGCTAGACGCATTTCACACAGTGGTAAAATATTTACACTTATACAATGGTTAAAGATTACAAACTTGTAAAAAAAAAAGCAAAAAAAATCCTTATAACTAGCCCATCCACATTTGGTTATGTCAATTCTGGATGCTGCATGTTCCCCAAGACACAGTACGTTCCCCAAACACCAGGGATAGTCCTCAACCTGAAAACCTTTTCTGTTGAGAAACAGTTTGAGTCAGATTGAAACGCAACACCAGGACGAACTACGTCTACATGAATCATCAGTTGATGGAAATGCTGACTTTGAGCCTGATGTGCAGCAGGATGTACACGTCCAACAAGTGTATATCTGAGATGCATTTTAAGTTAAGGTTTAAAATGATTCAGCTTTTTTTTTTTTTTTTTTGGACCCACTCGTGACACTAACATGAGCCGAGTACAGCTGACTAAGAAATTCTGACGAGTTTGAAAAGTTGTGCGAAAGTAAGGACGCACAGTTTTGAACGAGTTTCAAATATTAAATCTTCCACCATTATCATTGTAAAATGTAAATATGAGGCTAGATTTATCAGTCGTAATTACTACTTTACAGGCAGGTAAAATGGTATGTTTTTTTTTAGCTTTTTGTGAATTGAGTCATAATGTGTAGTTGTTCTACTACAGGGTGGTGTCTTTTAAGGGTTTTTATTGTGAAACGACTGGTACATATGTAGCAATTCATCTAATCCCTAATCGTTTTTATTCAAAGGAGACAACAAAAGCAGCACTGATTGTCTTAGTTCAGGGTTTCCACACCCCTGGGTGCCAACTGATGCAGTCTTTACATATGGACAGTGGATGGACGCTCAGCTCCATTCGTGCTCCTGTGGATATTTCTAAAATTTTGGTTGTTTCTTTGCATTTTTTATTGGATACAGCAACATGTTATAGCAGCAGTTATGCATTAGTGATTCCTACTGAGCTGCACCAAGTGCTATAGCCAGATTTTTTTTACCTTCTCATCCCAAACACAGTGGACGGACATGCAGCACAAGATTTCTGGAGAATTTTGACTGTGTCCAAGTATTGTTGACGGAAAGTAGATGCAAATCAAACCTGTTCCAAAGTCACCAACTGCTTTAATTACTACTGTTTTAATGGAATATAAAGGTGTGAATAACTCAAACAGCCTCTCCTAAAAACAAGCATTTGCTGTGAGCACAACCTGTTTTCCAGGCTCACATGCAGTCAGCATACCATCCGCAGACCATAGTGGACTTAAGCAGATCAAGAAATTTATGTAGAACAGACCCTTGTTGACACGTGGATGCAGAAAGCATGAATTACTCTGACTTTTACTCCCATTTCCTCCACTGGGAGACACATGAGGACACAAGACAAATTCAGTTGCATGTATAAAAACACTGCTTAAAATACATTTCAATTTCTATTGACCAGAATTTGTTAAGTGTCTTCTCTATGATACTGTTTTTAAAATTCACACAAATTCATCATGTGTTTCTATATTGCAGTTTGTTTTTTCCTCCAGCGCTTGTGTTTGAACTCTTTTTCGTCCTGTTGTGCTGCTACTGTACTTTGAGCTTCTCTCTTTCGGCCACTAACCTATAATCACCCTCAGTCTCCCCCCTTCTCACCCGCTCACTTTTCTATTTGCGTCCATGCCGTAACCGCACGGAACCCAATCCCTCTGGACAGCCGGATGAAATAAAAGGAACATTGCTGTAAGCTGGCAACACACACACATGCAGAAAGGGCAGTTTAAAGAGTGCACTCACTTTGTAGGATAAAGAAGAAGGCAGAAAAAAGAAGATGAATGAATGAATCGATAGATCAACAGATTATAGTTGTCGCTATAGCAGGTTCTTTCATGTTTCTCACTAGTTGTAATGAGTTATATGAATTTATCATAACAGCTTTCCAAGTATAAAAGCAGTTTTTGAAATCTTTTAATGGGACTTTTAGAGGCTGGCTCAATCAGAGCACATTAGATTCTCTGCAAGTCACTTTCCTAAATCGGTCCAAACTCCCGTCTGTGCAGCTGCTTCGGTTCTCGGTCCGTGTCGCTAAACAGTCAACAGGTTGCTGAGTTCATGTACTCAAGGTTGTGTGTGCCATGCCCAGGCTGGCGGAGTCCCAACTGTAACCCAGCCGCCTGTCGAGCATTTGATCCACTTAACACTTCAGCTCAGAAAACACACTTTGAGGAAAGGCCTGTACATTTAAAACAGTAAGTACAGCTTTTAATATGCAGATGCTTTTTAGAAATCAACAAATATTAAGTGTACATTTTTTTCTGCATGTTTCCGTTAACAGAACTATCAATGTAGTCGAAGCATTAAATCCAACAAGCTAAATCACATGAGTGTATACATGCTCGTGCATGCTGGAAGCATGACAAACAACAGGTATCCCACCTTGTCTCAGACTCTGGCAGGCCTGGCGTTCTAACTCAAAGCGTATGGCCCTCTCATCCATGCTGCTGCTGATTGGTTGAGGCTTGAAAGGGGCAGGGTCGATGCGGACGCACGGCAGGTGCTCCAGCATGGCGAACGCGATCAAAAATCTAAAAACTACGCTGAAATAATCATCCGCGAAAGAATAACAGCGAGAACAAGAAGCCGGCGGTTGGCGTCAGCTTAGCACAGGTGCTGAATTTCTGCAGCTGTCACAAGTTTGTACATCCACATAACAGAGACGAGCAGTCCTCTTACTGAGCTGCGGGATGCTGCTGTGAGTGAAAAGCTTAAAAGTAAAGTTGTGTCAGAAATCAAAGATGTTCAAAAGAGATTTGTCCTCATCTTTCCACCCACTTCTTTTGAAAAATTCCTTGATTGGATTCAGTTTCGAAAACAACACAAACTGTCAGCTACCGCGCGGCTTTAGAAGAGCTTCCCCTGTATTTGCAGTTGCCACAGGACTGACTGTGAGCCTTCATGTGTGTCAAATGACGACGAATCTGTGATCGAGCAGTCTGTCACAGCTGCTGGTGTACTCAGACACTGGGCTGTTGACAGACACAAACAGGCACACATGAGCGCACACATACACACTCACCAAATTCCTCTCACTTAGCACTTCTGATCTGAGCTCGGTGTGGTGTCAGTGATATGCACCTGTGTGAGCACCTCTCCACCGATGTAGCCTTCGGGCGGAAAAATCATTACACACAAACACAGAGACACCTGCTGTCGCTCTGCCTGCACGCCATCGCTGCTGACCGCTTCCCTCTTTTCTTTTTGGTCGTCTTTCTGGCAAACTGTCTGACCTTTAGGTTCTTCCTTGCTGGCTAACCATGTCTGACGAGTCCATAACATTGGATTGGATCGTTATCAGGCTTCTGCAGAGCTTGATGATGAGCTGATCATTTGAATCAGGTGTGTTGGAAGAGAGAAATATCTAAAACATGCAGGATTGTGGCCCTCGAGGACCAGGATTGGACACCCTGGATTTAACCTCTTCTATCCTGGAGGCCCATGAACAGGGATCAGGCTGGATCTGGTGAAACTTCTGGATTGTAGATACTGTGACTAAAATGAATTCAGCATTGTTGTGCTTCGTTACAGGTGCAATTGATAAGTTTTAGGTTCAATAACATCAGTGTCACTGACTGTAGGTCTGCCACTGACAACTTATTTTCTATTGATTAATCCATTCACTATTTTGCTAATTAGTTAATTCACCTTAATGAGCCATTTTCTTCCAAAAAGCAAAATGACCATTTCATTTGTATTCATTGTATTTTGACAAACTGTATGTCATTTTATGATGCAGCACAGTCTAAAATATAAACCAGGGTTTACATTTTAAAGTGCAAAACTGTAGAATTAAATAGGAAACTACAAGAGGATAACAATAAACTTTTAAAAGATTTCAAAAGAAACCCAAGTTTCTATTAAACTGGTTGGTGTTGAGTCAATTTCACTCATAATATATCCCCCGGTTTACAAAAAACACCACGTGGACATGTTATCAAGATGAAAAGAAATGGATTTTCACTGGAAAGGAAGAATAACTTTAAAGCCTGCTACCAGGATAGTGAAATTACATATTTGTTGTGGAAAATGTTTCATTGATTTTGTGTTATAGGAAAAAACAGCATCTAGCAAACATTAGAAAACCGCAAGTCTCCTATATCCTGGCTTTGACATTGAGTCATGGTGCACTCTTGAAAAGCACAAGCTATAGCCGCAGATGTAGTCCAATAGCTGATGTGTTCTCTTTCAGCGGGTCAATAAAGTATATACACCTGCCTGCGAGCGTTTAAGCTGCCGTTATCGCTTCTCTCCAGCGCCACCGTCTCCTCCTCCCTGGCTACATGTCAGTATAAAACACCTGTTCCCTTCTGCCAACAGATTCATTCATCTCCATTATTAAGGCTCTGTCCCGAGTGACATCACTTAATATGACATGACATTAAAAGGTGAGAAAGGGCCTTTCAAGGTGAAAAAACTAAGCACTCCCTTCCCTCATCTGTCAGCTAGCATAACAGGTATCCGATGGCACTTGTCATTATTACATTAGATTGATGAAAAAAAAATGTTTTATCAGCAGCAGTGCTTCAAAAACAAAGAGCAAAGCACGATAAACTGTGCTTTTGTAAATGATTTGATTATCACAGGCGACATCGTGTTAAATATGCAGCACGGTGTGTGTGTGTGTGTGTGTGTGTGTGTGTGTGTGCGTTCTTGTTACAGAGAGTGTTAATATGCAAGAAGTGTTGTCCCCCAGGCAACGAACTCCTCAGACTGACAAGAGAAGGAGAAAACGAATCAGGACTCTTATCCGCCATAACTTCAGATAAGGCCCCCCCGACCAAAATGGTGGCAGGGATAATCCCGCTTTGCTGCGAGTGCTGTTGCGTGCACATGCGTAGGTGTGCGAGATTGTCGAGCGCATATACGGCTCTGTTCATTACTAATATATGTGTATAATTTATGTAACAGCAAAGGCTTAAACTAAAAAAAAACAAGCGTCCGCAGTCTGGATGAAGCGTGCGTCTTCGGATCAGCTCTAAATGCTGAGATAAAAGCCAGTGGAGCAGACTTTTTTTCTCTCTCTCTCTCTCTCTTTCCCACACACACAGAGATCCATCCTGCTGTTTCTGTGGAGGCAGATGCTAATCTGTTTATTAATAAACAGAAGCAGAGCAGTGCATTACAGAGGTGGCATTTTCGACCAATAGAACTACACATCAGTCAAGGTCACTGTTTTTGAGAGGTATCTCTGCTCAAATCAGTACTTTAACAAAAATCTTAACTAACTCAACGAACAAGCATCTGACTAATTCATGTGGTCTTCATGTCTCATTAGCCATCCTGGAGCTATTATAGGAGATATCTCTCTGCAGCACTGCTACAAACTGCAAGAATGACCTTCAAAGCTAAAACTTACAGCATTTACTTCCTCGCACTGGTCCTTTACCACCGAGGAAAATTCAATTCGAAATCTCAAAGCTCACCTAAAAGCTATGCTCACCATTAAAAGTGCAATTTACCGACAGCAGTCAAGATGTCAAGCGATTACAGATTTTTATTTATTTTTTAATTAATTTGGAATCATGTATCATGTAAATCCAACATACACTTTTTTAGCCAGTTTTCGTTCTCCTTCAACAACTGAGGGAAATAATTGGCTCTTTAGCGGCTAAATGCTCCGCTACATTTACCAGTTAGTTTCTTATTGCATCTGTCAGGCAGTTTGGTTTTTGAGCAGCTACGTAGTGAGGTTTTTAGAGCCTTTTTTTTTTTTTTGAAAACAGCTGCCAGCTCTGGCCCAAATAGAAAACAAAAAAAAAACAATGCTGTGAGAGTTGTGAAAGTTAATCGAAGTTTTGGACCTCGCAACCAAATAATGAGGTGAAAATGAAATTTTGTGAGGGCGATGGGAGCTGCAGAGTTATGTTATGATTCTCTATAGGTTCATTGCTGTGAGTGATCATAGTCATATTGTCACGTTGTTTTCATATTGTCCGACAATTATGGCTGCTTTTCTTAGCAAGAAAAGTTTAGAGTTTATTGGGCTAGTCCCACGCAATTAAAACAAATTACTTTGTTGTTCCTGAATGCTAAACATTAAGACTAACAGTGTTCAGTTTTCACGAGCAAAAAAATCTATAATTTACTCCAACACACTAAAATTAGTGTTGGCTGGAAAATACTATTAATATAATTGTAACAGAAACATGTCTCTGTATAACACAAAACAACTTAACAGAACCACAAACCACATCATCTGAACCTTCATGAGGAGAAAATTAATTGCAGGACTCTATTATATTGCATTTAATTTTAGATAAGTGCAGTGAAAAACCTGTCAACGGGCGAAAAAAACCACATAAATGTAAGTAGTTGCAAGATACTTCGGCCAAAAATTTCACAAAAAATGTCAGTTTCTTGGTGTCAGTGATCCTGACTTCAACTTATCAGACACTGCCTCTTTGTCAGGACCCTTGATGTGACATTAAGTGTCATCTTTCAATGCTCTGGATCGTCCAATAGACCTATAAAAATCTGCAAACGTCAGAAATAGACACCATGAGTCCGTCGCCAGAGTTTCTCAGCTGGTGTTGTCACTGTTCCTTCTTGTGCAAGTGACAAGCAGTTTGCCTCCTAAAACGTGCTCAGTGTTGTAAAAGGGTGTATTTTAAGCCTAATCTTTTCCTAAACTTAAGCGTTTAACGTGAGCGAAAACAAGACTTAAGTCACAAGATGAAGCAAAAGTAAATGACAAAGTGCCAGTTTGACACGGGACACAAACCACAGTCTTAAAGATGAAAGTTAAGGCGAGAGACACCAATACCAAAGGACACCTTGTGCAGATCTCTCAGACACCAGTGGCATTGACAAAAGTAGTATGCACTATGACACACTGGGAATGAGAATAGCTTGTCAGGGGATCACCAGGGTCAGTGCTAGACGTCACCTGTTAACATGAATGTCTGTTCTTGTTCCATTCCTGTTCACACTGTACACAGCAGACTTTAATTACAGATCTGAGTCCGGCTGCATTCAGAAATACTCTGGTGATGCGGCTATTGTGGAGTGTTTCAAGAATGGGCTTAAAGGTGAGAAGGTCTTCAGTAACTGGACGGCCACGAATTGCCTTTGACTGAACATCTCCAAGACCAAGGAGATGTTTGTGGACTTTCACAGGTCTAAGCCTCCGCTCCAGCCTGTCAACATCAGATCGGAAGACAATGAAGAAGTGCAAACCTACAAATACTTGCACCTTGACAACAAATAGGATTGGTCCATAAACACAAATGCCCTGTACCGGAAGGTGCAGAACCAGCTGTTCTTCCTCATGAGTTTAAGATCCTCAGACATTCAATGTTCTACCAGTCAGTGGTGGCCAGTGTTATTTTCTACACTGTGATTTGTTGGGACTGAGAGGAACAGTAAGCGGCTGGACAAACTGCTGAAGAATCCTGGTTCTGTGCTCAGTAGGACCTCAGACTCTCTATCATTCATCTATCTATAGTAAACTCTGTGCCAATCTATATGGTGGCTACTGTGAAGAAAAAATGACTCCGCTCTCTGTAGTTAAGCCTCTGAAGGTGATACTAACCTTTTATGCCCTAAACTTTTCCTGACCTCCCCAAATGGATATCGTATGATGTCAGTCTAAAAAACCTGTAACAGATATACACCAGTCTACAAATCTTCTTCTATAGGATCTTGACCCCATGTGGATGTATTGTAGGAGGACAGACAGGCACTCCTCCCAAGGTCAGATTGCACTAGGCACCAAGCTATCGTCTTGTTTCCCCTTCCATCCATAAATCTAGATATGGTTTCCCACCAAAGGACGGTATAAGGTCTAAGGTACGGGAGAATTCTCAGAATTGATGCTGGCATTGCTTGCATGAACTGCTTCTCTGTTGGTGTGACTTCTCCTGATCAGT